GACAAGGCTACAGGCCATATAAAATTAACAAATTTTAACCACAAGTACTACAATTGCAACATTACAACATATCCAAAAATCAGAATTTTTGGATAGACACACGATTTATAGTGATTTTAACAAAAACAGGCTGTAGCACGATTTTCAAAAATCCATATCTTACAATATACATAACGAAACGACACAAGGCCAAAGACATTGCATCAAAGACATTCCTAAGTCCAATAATCCACAACACTTCCACGGGAATTAACACACTAACCACAGTTCGACAATTTTTCAAAGTGACGGCAATCACTTTGATATCAATTGGCAATTATGTATCAATAATTTCATAAACACTTATCTAAGGCACGTAATCAATTCGAAACTCAATCGCTCAGCAAATTTACATGCAATATATCACCATAACATAAATCACAGATTTAACAAGGTGAGGTTCGAGCTTAGGTACCATTTTCGGGACACATACGAAATTGGAACGAAAGAAACGGTACGACGGTGGGCTCGACGGCTTTGCCTCGTCTCGCGGAGGAGGGGCAGCGGCTATTGGGGCTCGTTGGAGGTTGCTGGTCACTGCGAGGGTCGCGGCGAAGGTTCACGGCTGCTGCGATCAAGCCCGGGAACAGGGCGACACGCGGGGACGACAATTTCGATAACAAACGGCGGGCAGCTGGCTTCGGTGATTCACGACCGAGAAACTGAACATAATCACAAGAGGAACAGCGGCAAGGACTGAACGGACTGTACGTGCGCTCCGACGGGGCTCGACGGGACCCAATGGCTACATTTGGCACTCCGACGGGACTCGACGGGACCCGACGGTTAGAAACTCACGAGCAAAGGATGGAGGGCAATTTGGTGGTTGTCTGCTGGTGTTCTCACCGGAAGAACTTGAACAATGGTGGTCCTGGTGATGGCGACGGGCAGCAACACGAGATGACGATCAATATGTGATCGCGGTTCGCTACAAAAGCTTGCAGCGGTCACGATTGCCGGATTATGGGGAGGGGGCGACTGGTCCTGTTCGCGATGGTTGGCTAACTTGACGGCGATCGGCGTTGGGACCTGATTGTGGTGACGACAACCAACAGAGAAGGGGATGGCGATAAAGGATGAACTAGCCGGTGGTTGTTGTGCGAGGTCGCCGGAAAGCTTGAATAGGGTCTGGTTGCGTGAACGGAGGTGATGAAGAAGAGGACGATCAATTGGTGATGATGATGACCTGCGTTTCTGATGGCTTGCGCGCTGATGATGGTGATAACAGCAGGATGATGATCGCGAGATTATGATGATAGGATGATGGTGAAGGATTTCTGCGATTATCGATTGAGGGAGAAGAAGATTTCTCTGTCGCGATGAAGAGAACCGAGGAACACAAATAAAAGCTGCGGGCAATTCTATTAATCTGCTAAGGGAAAAACCGACTTATTTATATACATAGCATTAGGGTTTTCCCATCTAAATACACCTAGGTTTAGGTAATTAGCTTCCCATCCAAGCAAGTGAACGGGTCGGGCCGGTCTGATGGTGCGCGGGTTCTCGGTTCACAATTAATCGTCGAGGCTCGACAATAATCAAATAAAATACACCGAGATAATAAAATATAACACACATAATAATATTTAGTAATACACATTAATCACATTTAATCAACCAGGCACATTAGACAATAATAATAATAACAATAATAATAATAATAATAATAATAATAATAATAATAATAATAATAATAATAATAATAATAATAATAATAATAACAAAAATAGCAATTAGGCATTTAAGCAATTAATAATATTTAGACATTCAATAATAACAAAATAAACAAGCAATAATAAATATAATAAATAATTCTAAATAATTCTCAAATAAACGGGGCGTTACACTTTTGGTTGGGAGAAAGCGTCAAGTATAAAATTTCTATCTCTCGGTTTTTCAAGAGGAGAAAGAGGGGCCTTAAGATTAATAAAAAACAAGGATTTGAGTGATTACTTTACTATGATGGGCTTGCACAAAAATGGAATAAGGAGTGAGGCGTGTGTGATAATGGGAGGAAATTGTGGCTTGAAGGTTTGATTGAAAGCTCACAAGATGATTTGAAATTTGAATTCAACATTTGGTGCAAAAATCCTTAGCAAGAGGGCCGGCTTTTGAGGCTCTTGGGGGCCGAAAATATGGGCTTGAAGTGGCCGAAAATTCTTTGGTCTTTGCTTGGGAAAAATAACTAGAAAAAGGCCCACAAAAGAGGCTACTTTTGAGCAAGGATTTGAATTATTTTTCCTTAGCAAAAGAATTAGAGGAATTTACATCTCTTACTATTAATTATGATATATATTATACTTATACACCAATTCTAATCTTATTTATAAAACTACAAAACAAGCCTAAAATATTTACACTTATACCTAGGATTTTAAATGCGGCTCATGTAACAGACATTAACCAAATAACGGGGCAAATTAAATGCAATTGGCATAGTTAGTTGAAATCAAATATATCATTACCAAAAAGAGCGGAAGTCACACCCTCTTTCTCTGCTATCATCTCTCTCTGCAAAACCACCACCATTTTCACCCATCTCTCTGCAAAAAAAAAAAAAAA